GGCGGGGAGGGGGTGGGTCGGCTGCGGCCAAAGCGCCGCGTCCCAAGGCGGCTCCTCCTCCTCCTCCTCCTGCCCGGCGGACCCTCAGGGAGCCCCGCAGCTTCCGCCCCGCATATGGACGACCCTCTGGCGCTTCGATGGGAAGCCGGACGTCGCGCTCGCAAAGTTGGTGGCTGCAGCCCCTTTCCCCGAAGGAAGGCGGCCTCTGAGAGGCGTCACTTCCTTTTTCCGGTGTCTGTGCTGGGAGGCGACGTGTCTTTGGAGCAGGAGCTGAAGCGCTCGACGAAGAAAGAAGCCGGTGAGTGGTGGGGGTCCGCGGGGCCGCGGCTGAACCCGAGTGCCGCAGGGGGCGTGCGGAGGGGCTTCCCTGTGCCTCTGAGAGGAACAACCGGCCCCCTCCCCGCCTCGGGGGGGGGTCCGCAAAGCCGGGGCGGGGTCTGGCTCGAGGCTCTCCTTTCTCGCGGCCTGGCCTACCTTGCAGGGTGGTTGTGTGTGTGGATGAAAGTCTGTTTGGGTCCCCCCTGGGGAAGAAAAGTGGGGTATAAATGATGTGAACACACACACACACACACACAGAGTTACTAAGCCAGAAGATTGTGTTTTATAGCCGTCAGGTATGGGCAAGTTCATCTTTGACATCAATCCTCCGAGCGTTGCCAATCCCCAGGTGGGGCCCTGTGATCTCCTGGGCTTGCAACTGACCTCCAGACAACAGATCAGTTCCTCTGGAGAAAATGGCTACCTCGGAAGTCGGGTGGCCAACCTCCAGGTGGTGGCTGGAGATCTCCCCCGCTGTTATAGCTGATCTCCCGGCAGCAGAGATCAGTTCACCTGGAGAAAAATGGCCACTTTGGGAGGTGGACTCAGTGGCACGGAAGTCCCTCCCCAGATCCCCCCCCTCCTCAGGCTCCACTCCCGAAATCTCCAGGTATTTTCCAACCTGGAGCTGGCAACCCTATTTGGAAGGTGGACTCCGTGGCATTATACCCCACCAGAGTCCCTTCCCTCATCAAACCCTGTCCTCCCCAGGCTCCACCCTGCAACACCTTTTGGGCTCCCAGCCCAAAGTTTCGCACCCTCTACATTGGGGATCACCGCTGTTGTTTTTATATAATTTCTCTGGTTTTATGTGTTTAAAGGGATGCATCCTCCTTCCCCAAAATATAATAGTGCCACGCCTTTGTTAAAGGGTTATGGACTCTTCCTAAAAGGAAGGTGATGGGGGGGGGCAGTAGTGGGAGTCTCCCAGTCATAACTGGTGATGAGGGAAGAGGTAGTTTCTTTCTGACATCAGCAAGGGTGAAATTCCTGGCACAACATGCCTTCATGCAAAAATGCCCTGCCATGGAGCACTGCAAACTCAAGGCATCAACTAGCATTAGAGGAGAATGTTGGAAGCCTCTAAAAATAAATGGTAGAGGTTGAGGGTAGAGGAACAGGATCTCTGCAAAGGGAAAGGATACCCTGTTAAACATCTTCATTATGCTGTATGCTAATTTATTGCTATATGTA